CTTTTGCTTAAGGGTTTTATCACCATCTCACCTACATATTTTTGCAATTTTAAGGGTGCAATTTCAAAACAGCATCATTATACTTTATTGTTATGTATAATTGTTTACTGTCTGCACCCAAGATAGTAAGAGAGATTGTGTATTAGATAGAAAAATTTAAAACACTGAGTTCAAGAAAGAGAGTGGGGAAAGGGAACCAGTATGATGAAAAGGGCCCATGCCAGTAAATACATTGGAACACATAGGGTATTTTACAGATGGCCTTTGTCCCTTTTCGCATCAAACACAATAACACTCTGCTGGAAGCTAACAAGAAAAGTGTCAGTCGACTAATAATGGCAGTGGTGGCATCAGCCATCAATTTCAGGGTATAGTTGTTGAATTGATTGTGCGTCAAGAAATAATTTTTTATATATGTCTGAGCAGACAGTTGATCAAATTTACTCCTGTGAAATCTAAAGCCCAGGGATTTTATATATTTTAAGATTAAGTTACTTTTACGTGTGGAAGCTGCCATCACAGCTTAGGGATGGCAGCTGGCTCTCACTGGACAAATAAGACAGAGTGGGAGGCCACAGTGTGTTTTTAATATACATTATTTCCCCTTTAAGCATAATTTCAGGTCTGTCTTATGAAACAAATGGGGGGTGTTCTTCTAGTCATGTCTCGGCACCATATGATGTGTAGTTCGCATACATGGAGCCCTGTGAGATCACTACAAATACAGCTGGGGAGGAAGTAAGAGGAGTGTGCCCATGATTGACCACTAACACCTAAGGCAGAGGAAAAGCAGTAATCTTCCTTCCCATGATGGGGAGAAACATTGTTAAATTATGTGACGACCACGAATTCCTCCTACAGAATTATATCCACCTTTTATAGTCAAGTTGGTTGACTCTTCCACTCTACAGGTTGTCTGTGATTTGCCTGGATAGATAGAACATCATGATGTAATAAATACCGGGAATCAGGAGCATAAATCTCCAGACACCTTAATGCTTGGGGCTTCCATCTTTTTGGGAAGCTGCCCTAAGACACAATCTGGCTAGTTGGTTTACAGAAAGATCTCGTAAGAATGAGAGAAGTCCAGTTATTCTCACTGTACCAACTGAGGCAAACCCCAACTGACTGCTTAGGTAGCTGAACAAAACCCAGGAGGGAAGCTATGACTCACTTGTAGCTTTATAGTTGATCACTACAGGGAACTACACAATGGGAACCAATGACCACAGATTTAGGGACTCTAGCTTATAATTTCTTATTTTTAAGTTCTTAAAAATTATGTGTTCAGGAATTTTGCCTGCATGAATTTCTGTGCTCTGTGCACACACCTCATGCCTGCTGAGGCCAGAAGAGAACAACAGGATCATCGTGGAGCTGGAGTTACAGATGGTTGTGAGTCACCATGTAGGTGCTGAGAATCAAACCTGGATCCTTCGCAAGAGCAGCCAATGCTCTTAACCACTGAACCACCTTTCCAACCTTTCTATTAGTATCATGTTTTATTACAAGAAAAAATAAGGTCAGATTTGAAAGTGACCAAGAGATATGAGGGCATGCTTTTCTATTTCAAAAATTTATAGGGTTAACTGGGATTTAGATATGATTTTTCATTCTCAACATTGAAAGATTTTTTCTTTGCTTTTAATTTGAGAACTCATTCTCCAATATATATGAAAATACAACAAAACTAAATTTAAATATTATTTTAATATGACTTAACACTGAATCAGAAATTTGAGAGTTGAGGGTTAAATAACATTTAGATTATTCCCTCAACCGAGGAAACTAATAGCATTTGTAAAAATAGGATTAGGGGTTTTTCCCCCTTAAACTTCTCAGCAAAGCAAAAGAAATATCTACAATCAAATTATCTCCAAAGCCTTAATTAAAGTCAGATCCTTAAAGAGAGTTCAAATTCCTTGGGTTTATGCTAAGCCACACAGAGAAGCATCAAACAATCATTTCTCAGTTCATTTTCAAATACTTCATACTAACATCCTTTTATTCTTATGAGTTCACATGTTTATATCCTAACATTAAATAAACATATCTCTACACACCAGCATGAGATCATTTCCATAAAGAATACTGTTTGTGAGGCATTCTTTCCTAAATACCCTCTTATCGAAATTCTGGAAAACATTCCATGAAACTTAATTAATTTGAAACACCCAGCCTTTCCATTATAAAGTTTTTCCCAAGGTGTCACTAGCGAATCTGGGGCAAAATACATTTGTACATAAGTTCAAATATAACGGTAAAAGCTGACTGGAAATCCTGTGTTTGCAGCAGAAGTTATATTCAGAGTTGCCATAGCAGCCACCCACGTTCTCTCTCACACACAAAGGGGTGGTGAGGAAAAGAGAAGAAAGCAGTTAGCAGAGAACAGAATCTATTGTTGAAAAGACAGCGGTACCCATCAATGTAATTACAAGCAGGGATCCTAATTCTTAGTCTGAAAAGAATTTAATGATAGAAGATTCCGTAGCATTGGGCTGCTCTCTAATCTCATCACTGTCTGTACCCCCAGTTTTAAACTGTACTGGATGGTAAAATAATGTAGGAAGAAGAGGACTGTTGGCTAACCATGAACATTTGAGCTTTCAAAATTTAAAGTTTCCCTATCTGGGGCGTCTTGAAAACCATTATCACCAAGAAAATCTATGGGTCAATAGATCTGAACAAAGGACATCACTTTCTTGGTATCTCTGATTATAAATGGGTAGAATGAGTGCATACAGCTACAAAGTGTTGCACACGTTTTTAAAAACTATTGCACATAATAGATTATTAAATATAAATAATTATTAAAAGATGTTGATATGTATTAACATTAAAAATTAGTTTAGTAATAAATGAGTAAAGGTGAAGCCTGAACCACAGTAAGTGCTCAAGAGATGTTTGCTAAGGTCATTATAATTAATTATTATTAATACATTATTAGTCTTTTTTATGAATAGAACAGTGCAGAGTACAAGGCATCAGTTTCCAGAAGAAAGGCTTGCAGGTATTCAGCAGAATAGAGCTAAGATAAAACGTGAAGATTCCTTGAGCACACAAGAGGCTGATGTGCTGTCCCATAGCAATGTTTTTGAAGGACTATTTAGGATACTAAAAGGCTAAGCATTTTATTCTAGTGCATATTCATCACCATGGACAAAGACTGGATACACAGCAAAATCTAACTTCTATTGGTGCTAAAAGAGGGTACCATATCTGGCTTCAGAAAGCACCATGCAATTTCCCTTCCACCATTTGTTTGATCACATATTCATGTGCAGATATATTTAGAGTCTCTACACAAATATAAAAATTCAACATCAGATTTAGCTGAAGGCATAGATGAACAATTGCCAAATGCCTTCTGATTCACTCATTTCAAATCTTCCCCGTGTGACTGAGTACTGCATATTCCAACAGGAGGAGCCTGTAGTCACGCAATGGGATGAATAGGAAAGAATATGCGTATTCACACATTTCATTCAGTGGCAAGAGGTACTTTTCCTGTATAGGAGAATGCAAAGCTGATAGACTAAGGACACAAAAGAATTAGAGGAACATTCAGATTTGGGGGGGACAGAGTGAAAAGGCAAGAAGGAAATCGTGACAAACATTTTACAGCAGATTGCAGGAAGTGGAGGCAAAACAATAGGATAAGCTTCACTTCCGGACAGTAAGGGGTACAATTATCATGGCTTAGAAGCTTTCAAAAGTCTCAGTCCAAACACTTAAGAAGCTAAAGTGAACTCATTACCAGAAGTTTGAGGCCAGCTTAGGCTGCATAGTCAATTCTAGACCCATCTGGAAACAAGAAAAAACCCTACCTTTACAAAATGAACAACAGCAATTCAAATCTCTTCGAGTCTGTACTCTGTGACCTCTAGATTTCTCTTGCATTGGAAATGCTATGAACATTGGTGCTACTTAGTAATCTTTATTTTCAGTCTTAGAGAGACATATCATTACTTAACACTTGAGACTCTCCCTGCTTTCAGGGGCAGCCTGATGTGATTGCATTAGAAACACTCCCACCACCCAAGAGCTTCTGGCGTATAAAAATAATCCTGAGTTTTTCCAAGTCACTAGAAATAATTGAATTTGGTTTCAGTTGGGGCTGGATTCTTATTTTTTTTATTATTTTACAAACCTTTTCTTGATAAGGTGAGACCAGAAAGGAATAGATCTGGGAACTACTGAGAAGAAGAGGCCCCAAAGACATCTATCTACCTTCTCTGTGCTTCTCACCACGTTTTATGGACAAAGCCCACAGAAAGCAAGTTTGGAGTTAAAGCCCACAACTCCAGCCTACTGGTGAAGTTGAGAAAGCTGATGGCCTGCACGATGGGGTCAAGTGCTCCCTGCCAAGGCTGCCCTTTTCCCCTTCCCTGCTGGCAGTAACACTGTGACTGCTCAGTCCCACTTCAAGGTCTTGGGATGCTTATACTCAGAGCCTGGCTCCTATCACCAAAATGATGGCAAATATTCAAGAATAAAAGGAAAATGTAATTTCTAAAGATATTTTGGTTAGTTCTGTGAGGAAATATCAGAACACTGATTGAGACTTTATGATGATGTAATTACCAATAACAGAAGAGCATTCTAAAATAAGAGTTCTTTCGTCCCCAGCGCCAGGCAATCTGAGAGCTTGAGTAGGCAGCCAGGAGCCCAGACAGTTCTCTAAACTATGCTATTAGAACCTAGTGGGGAGTGCTACAGAACAAATTTGTTTCCGTTAACTCTTATTAAATACAAAGGCAAATATATTTACAAACAGAAATTCCAATCGCAACATATTTTTTTTATGTAATCAGCTACCCACACATGACCTCAAGAGAATCAGCTGTGTTAACGTTGTTCACAGTACAACCCGCAATTGTTAAGAATAAATTGAATACTAGTTTTCTCTATTCAACTCTCATTACAGTGCAGGAAAAAATTTCACACTTGGGAAAGGGAAAAGACATTCCAAGGACTAGGCATTATTGATCACTCCTTACCGTCAGATACATGGCAGCATAGACACTGAGGGCAGCTTCTTTGGATGGGAAGGTTTTCCTTGCTCGCATGATGAGATCTGGGTTCCCTGTGCATGCTTCCTCTCCACTGATGAACTGTGTGTACTGTTGACACCCAAGAGCTGTGTAATTGGGCTTACACAAGGCCAGAAAGTGTGGAGCCAGGTTGCCTGTGACCACTTGTCCAGCATTTACAAAGATATCTGTAGCAAACAGCCCAAACGTGTAAATTCCTGGAGAAGAAAGAAAGCAAATGACATTAGCTTTCTTCTTGTTTAATAAAAAAAATTGAAACTATAACACATTCCATACAAGCAAGTGCTCAGTTCTTTTCATTTTACATATCTCTAGTTTATTCCTTGACTTTCTGGAGTTATTGGGGGTGTTAAATTATTTAACATATTGAGCTGCCTTCCACTGGTTACATTTTCATGCATGGTAGGTTTGTGAGACATAAGATAAAGGAAGATATTATATTCTGAGACTATGTTTGGGTGATGTAGGTTTGGAAACAAAGAGACAGATCCCCTAAGAGGGTGCAGTGGATAGTGTTTTACTGATGTTAGCAATTTCTATTTTTTCCTTTTTTTTGACATTTTTTATCACACTAACATAAAGCAACGTTTTGTTTATAACAAATCTTGTCATCAACAAAAATGATATGCAAAAAACATAACCATCAAAGATACGGTTACGATGTGAAGAAATGCACTGGTTTCTAATTTGAGGTAATAAAACTCATGAGAATTTTTATTTTATTTTGATTATTTTCAAGGCTTATTTATTTTATATGACATGTGTGTGTTCATCTGAGTGTATATCTGTGTACCACATTTGTGCAGGTTCCCGTGGAGAGCATTTCACATCTCCTGGAGCTGGAGTTACGGGTGATTGAGAGTCACTGGATGTGGGCTTTGGGAATAAAACCCAAGTCATGGTAGAAGCAGGCTGTACTTTTAACTTCTGAGCCATTTCTTCATCTCCAAGGACTTTTAAACTTACAGAAAATAATATTTCCCAAAGAATTGGCCTATTGAAAAACCATATTAATTTTATTTATATAGATAAATGTTTTTTCTTCTTAGTTGTACACTTTGGAACTGTTTGTTTTTCTGAGACTTCCCTCACGACTGGCTGTTGTATTGGGAAGTCATCATGAAAACTGCAAAGGATTAAATATTTTTTCAGTATTGGATCCATGGGATTTTTTAATCTTCAAAATATTATGTAAGATTTCTTTATGCACAAAAATATACACATAACAAAACTTGAGTATCCAAATGTCAAGGTGATAGAAACATTGATTTTTCTATTTTAAGTTTCAAAAGAAAACAGCACGAATTCCTTTCCTGATTCTTAGCAGTTGCCATGAATCACACCAAGGAAAGGCTGTGAAAGGCAGAAACTCAGGGGAGGCAGAGAGGGTAGCAGACTGAGGCCAATAAGATGCTAGCGTACATAAGCTGTCCTTCAAAAACCTCAGAGCTAAGCACTGGCATCCATCCATATCTGTACTCCTTTGAAATGTAGGCTAAGATGTACTCATTTTTTTTTTTAGCTAAACTGATCTTTTTATCTAGTGTTAATAGGTCCCTTGTTTAAAATAGAAATATTTGGGAAGAATATAGAAATGTCTCTTGATACTTGAAAAGTTCCCGAATATGTCTTCAAACCAAAATGTCAGTGTTTCAGGTCCAAAGCCAATATTGCTGTGGATGACACAGATCATTTTTGAAGTGGGATCTCATAGACACAACCACCTTTTTGAGAGAAGGCACGGAGTCCCTATGCAAAGTGCAATCTCTTTATGCAGTGTGGCTTTAGTGACAGGCTTTCCTTTTCTTACAACAAATTTGAAACTTCAGGTCACCATAAAGGAACGAAAGAAAAGAAAACATATCTAATCAGTGAGAACCATGTCGAGTAATAGGCACACTTTACATTGTCGTACATGTTCTTCAGAAATGCAGGCCAATGCCGAGAACGTTTCTTCAACGACATAACCGATTTGCTTTGATAGTTCTTAGGAAAGTATTGATTTCAAGTACTTTTAGTTTTGCAGATGCCACAGAAGTCATTGATTATTACTTATTTTATTATTAAATGGAACGCTTCCAAAGAAAAGTGAGTTAAGAGCACATTACTTACACAAAGAAAAAATTTTGAGGTATATACATAATCTTAAAAACTGTATATGAGTATTTTATATCATTTTACATAATATTTATTATAAAATATTTATCTATTTTATATAATATTCCTTTAAAAGATAACTGGGGGCTTTGGAGATACCTAGAAGAATCAGGGCCATGGGCAGCTCTGGAGGCTAAAGGCCCATGGCCCTGATTCTTCTATGCCTCGTCTCTCATGTAGCAGCTACAGAACAGTGTGGTGGTTTCTGTCTCCAAAGCTCTCTCTTGAGCCCCATAACGTGAGACATACACTGAAAAGTCGCAGGCTTCTTGGTGAATCTCTCAGTGTTCATAAAAATTCATCTTGCATGCTTTTAAATACACACAGTGGTGGCCATTTTAATCTAACACACCAGGAAGTGATAATTTACAGTAAACTAGGCTGTCCAATGAAACTGGTTTGTCTAAATTTCTACTGAATTACAAGGATGCTTAGTAATTTGCCATTTTGTTAAGTGTTGACATTTTCATGGTGAACACCAAAGTATCAGTGTCTCTTGTTTTCTAACAAAAATGTCACTATAACTCAGTTTGCATGAAAACCAGCTCAGAATTAGAACAAGGAGAACAGCTTATTAAATATGATGTTTTTCTTGGGCCATGTTACCACTCAGGATTACTATTATTCATCATGCATACATTTTGAAATTTTATATACACACACTAAGTCATTTTTTTTTCATTGCAGACACGCTATTTTCTTTAAAAAATAATATTCAGGGGTTACAGTCTTGATTTCTTAATGTGGAAATTACATCCTAGGTCATCTTAAAAGTTGCCTTATATATGTTTATTATTATATTAAAGTAAGTCAATGGATACATACCAAGAAATCGGACAGTTCGGCGTACCAGTGGATTTATATAGCAACAGTCTCCAGTTAAGATGGTTTTTTCCTGGTTTTCAAAATCCCTTGTGGCTAACTGTAGGCAAAACACGGCAGTTTCTCCAACTATTATCTTGCAAAGAAGTAGAAGATTAAAGGGTGTTAGAACTTCAGAAGGCTATTTTCATTTAAAAGGTAGAAACTATCTCAATGTAAAACTGAAGCACAATCGCTAAGTAGACCCTTCAATTTTCATTTTGTCAGCACATATAAATCACATTTCTCTCAATTTTAGAAAGCATTAAAATGACAGATTTTTTAAATTCAAAGTAGACTATAATACCTGATATATACAAAAATTCTTTTTTTAATTGATTTTTATTGAGCTCTACATTTTTCTCTGTTCCCCTTAAGGGAATTCTAAGTTATTCTCATGTGAAATTTTCACCTTTAAAAAAGTGACTCTTTGCCCACCTGCCATCCAGAGGGCCATCGGAGGGGTGAGTTTGCTTCGGGCCCGCGGCAGGGGCCCGGCGAGGAGGAGCTCGGACTTTCCCCGACCCTATAGACTCCCAGGTCACCCTGCTCTGCTGGCTCCACCCTGCTAGCGCCCCCGCCAGCCATCCCAGCCTCCAGCCAGAGGGCCATCGGAGGGGTGAGTTTGCTTCAGGCCCGCGGCAGGGGCCCAACGAGGAGGAGCTCGGACTTTCCCCAACCCCATAGACTCCCAGGTCAACCTGCAGTGCTGGTTCCACCCTGCTAAGCTCTCCTGCCTGCCATCCCAGCTTTCATCCAGGTACAAATTTCTATATTTCTCCCTTCCCACTGGGGCCATAAAATTTCCCCAGCTCAGCTGCCTTGCACACTGGGCCTGCTCTGTAGGCATATCCCGAAAAGAGGGAGTGCCTGTGCTTCAATAGCCTACCTGAGGAAAGGTAGGCATTCTATCAGTGAACTCCCTGCCCAACAAGGGAACCTGACCCGCTACCAGAAGTTCCAATAGAGAGCATTTGAACGAAGAGATGGGCAGATGCCAAGGCAAGACCTCCTCCAACAATCTGAAAAACAACATGGAAACACCAGATCCCAACGACCCTACAACAGAAGGACTTGAACACTCTAACACAGATGAAGTGGAAAAAAGTGCCATTATGAAAGCAATAGAGTCCCTTAAACAGGATATGAATAACTCCCTTAAAGAATTGGACGAGAAGTATAACAAAAAGTTTGAAGAAATGAGTATAGAAATGGATGAGAAATATAACAAAAAGTTTGAAGAAATAAGTAAATCCGTGAATGATACCCTGAGAAACCAAGAAAAAACAATCAAACAAGTAAAGGAAACAGTCCAAGAATTGAAAACTGAAATGGAGGCAATGAAGAAAACACAAAACGAGAACCGGCTGGATATGGAAAACCTAGGTAAACGAACGGAGACTACAGAATCAAGCATAACCAACAGAATACAAGAGATAGAAGAACGAATCTCAGATTCTGAAGATACCATAGAGAAAATAAATGCTCTGGTCAAAGAAAACGGCAAATCCAACAAATTCTCTTCACAAAACATTCAGGAAATCTGGGACACAATAAAAAAAACCAAATCTAAGAATAATAGGGATTGAAGAAGGAGAAGAACTGCAGATCAAAGGCTCAGAAAATATATTTAACAAAATTATAGAAGAAAACTTTCCCAATCTAAAGAACGATATTCCTATGAAGGTTCAAGAAGCATACAGAACGCCGAATAGACTGGATCAAAAAAAAAGTCCCCTCGCATATAATAATCAAAACACAAAACATCCAGATTAAAGAAAGAATATTAAGAGCTGCAAAGGAAAAAGGTCAAGTAACTTATAAAGGTAAACCTATCAGGCTTACACCAGACTTCTCTATGGAAACCATGAAAGCCAGAAGATCCTGGATGGAGGTACTGCAGAAACTAAGAGACCATGGATGCAAACCCAGACTACTATACCCAGCCAAGTTATCACTCACTATCAACGGATAAAACAAAATATTCCAGGATAAAAATGAATTTAAACAATTCGTAGCCACAAATCCAGCCCTACAGAAAGTAATAGAAGGAAAATCGCAACCCAAGGAATCCAACATTGCCATCAATGCCTACAATAACCCAGACATCTAGCGACCATTCACAACCACAACTCAAAGAAGAGAAACACACAAGCTCTACTACACAAACACACACACACACACACACAAATAATAAACGGAATCAACAACCACTGGTCATTAATATCACTTAGTATTAATGGACTCAACTCACCTATAAAAAGGCACAGACTTAGAGACTGGATAAGAAAACAGGATCCAACATCCTGCTGTTTACAAGAAACACACCTCAACCACAGAGATAGACATCTACTCAGAGAAAAGGGTTGGGAAAAGGTTTTCCAAGCAAATGGACCTAAGAAACAAGCGGGTGTGGCCATTCTAATATCTAACAAAATTGACTTCAAACTAAAATCAATCAGAAGAGATGGAGATGGACATTTCATACTCATAACAGGAACAATTAATCAGGAGAAAGTCTCAATCCTGAATATCTATGCCCCTAATATAAAAGCACCCACTTATGTAAAAGAAAAACTTTTAGAACTCAAGGCAGTCATCAAACCACACACACTAATAGTAGGAGACTTCAACACACCTCTCTCACCAATGGACAGAGCAATCAAATAGAAACTCAACAGAGAAATAAGAGAATTGCTAGAGGTAATGAATCAAATGGACTTAACAGATATCTATAGAACATTCTACCCAAAAAGGAAAGAATATACCTTCTTCTCTGCAGCTCATGGAACTTTCTCGAAAATTGACTACATACTCGGTAACAAAGCAAACTTACACAAATACAAAAAAATATTAGTAATCACCTGTGTCTTGTCGGATCACCACGGAATAAAGTTAGAATTCAATAACAATTCGAATTCCAGAAAGCCTACAAATGCGTGGAAGTTGAACAGTCAGCTACTGAATCATCCTTGGGTCAAGGAAGAAATAAAGAAAGAAATTAAAGTCTTCCTTGAATTTAATGAAAATAAAGACACAACATACTCAAACCTATGGGACACAATGAAAGCAGTTCTAAGAGGAAAGTTCATAGCACTAAGTGCCCAATTAAAGAAAACAGAGAAAGCATATATTGGAGACTTAACAGCACACCTAAAAGCTCTGGAAAAAAAAGAAGCAGACTCTCCCAGGAGGAGTAGAAGACTGGAAATAATCAAACTGAGGGCTGAAATCAACAAAATAGAAACACAGAAAACAATCCAAAAAATCAACGAAACAAAAAGTTGGTTCTTGGAGAAAATCAACAAGATTGACAAACCCCTAGCCAAACTAATCAAACGGCAGAGAGAGAACACTCAAATTAATAAGATCAGAAATGAAAAGGGGGACATAACAACAGACACAGTGGAAATTCAGAGAATCATTAGATCTTACTATGAGAGTTTATATGCCACAAAGTTGGAAAATGTACAAGAAATGGATTGGTTTTTAGATAAATACCATTTACCAAAGTTAAATCAAGAGCAAGTGACCAATCTAAATAGACCTATTAGTCGCAAAGAATTAGAAGCTGTTATCAAAAGCCTCCCCACCAAAAAAAGCCCAGGGCCAGATGGTTTCAATGCAGAATTCTACCAGAACTTCCAGGAAGAGCTAATACCTATACTCCTTAATGTATTTCACAATATAGAAACAGAAGAATCATTGCCAAACTCTTTTTATGAAGCTACAGTTACCCTGCTACCAAAACCACACAAAGACACAACCAAGAAAGAGAATTACAGACCAATCTCACTCATGAACATTGAGGCTAAAATACTCAATAAAATACCAGCAAACCGAATCCAAGAATACATTAGAAAAATTATCCATTATGATCAAGTGGGCTTCATCCCAGAGATGCAGGGCTTGTTCAACATACGCAAATCTATCAATGTAATCCATCATATAAATAAACTGAAAGAAAAAAACCATATGATCATTTCATTGGATGCTGAAAAAGCATTTGACAAAATTCAACACCCCTTTATGATAAAGGTGTTGGAGAGATTGGGTATACGAGGATCATACCTAAATATAATGAAAGCAATATATAGTAAGCCGACAGCTAACATCAAATTGAACAGAGAGAAACTCAAAGCCTTTCCACTAAAATCAGGAACGCGACAAGGCTGTCCACTCTCTCCATACCTCTTCAATATAGTGCTTGAAGTTCTAGCAATAGCAATAAGACAACATAAGGGGATTAAGGGGATTCGAATTGGAAAGGATGAAGTTAAACTTTCGTTATTTGCAGACGATATGATAGTGTACATAAGCGACCCCAAAAACTCTACCAAAGAACTTCTACAATTGATAAACACCTTTAGTAATGTGGCAGGATACAAGATCAACTCGAAAAAATTGGTTGCCCTCCTATACACAAAGGATAAAGAAGCAGAGAGGGAAATCAGAGAAACATCACCTATCATGATAGCCACAAATAGCATAAAATATCTTGGGGTAACTCTAACCAAGGAAGTGAAAGACCTATTTGACAAGAACTTTAAGTCCTTGAAGAAAGAAATTGAGGAGGATACCAGAAAATGGAAAAAACTGCCCTGTTCTTGGATTGGGAGAATCAACATAGTAAAAATGGCAATTCTATCAAAAGCAATCTATAGATTCAACGCAATTCCCATCAAAATTCCATCAAACTTCTTCACAGACCTTGAGAGAACAATAATCAAGTTTATATGGAAAAACAAAAAACCCAGGATAGCCAAAACAACCTTATACAATAAAGGAACTTCTGGAGGCATTACCATCCCTGACTTCAAACTCTATTACACAGCTACAGTATTGAAAACAGCTTGGTATTGGCATAACAACAGAGAAGTCGACCTATGGAATCGAATAGAAGAACCGGGTATTAACCCACAAACGTATGAGCACCTGATATTTGACAAGGGAGCTAAAGGCATACAATGGAAGAAGGAAAGCATCTTTAACAAATGGTGCTGGCATAACTGGATCTCAACCTGTAGAAGAATGAAAATAGATCCATATCTATCACCATGCACAAAACTCAGGTCGAAATGGATTAAAGACATCAAC